AGGAAGACAAAACAGATTTAAAAACCAGCTATGGAGCAAACAGTGTGCTTGTGTGTTGGAGGTAGTGGGCCTCCACCCTGGAGGCAGGAGTTACTTCTAACCTTGAGCTGGCCCTCCCAGGTCTGAGCACACCCCAACCAACAACATGGCTTACACTGGTAATTGCATCCCAGGCCTCCCAGGGGTAGCTGAGTTTGGGGACATTCACACCCCGCCACGCCTGGCCATCTCATTGTGGAGCTTTGCTGGGTTCCAACCCATCTCTGTTAGCTAGAGGTTTCCTGCCACTCTGAACAATACAAGCCACCTGAAGCCCCATTGGGTGTGCTTTGCCAAGCGTAATGAGTCAAGGAACTCTTCATCTGTGGAAATGCTGAAATGTAAACTGAAATGTGATTTGTTCTGCTTCAGCATTTCCTCAAATGACTCCATTAGGGAATGGCTATGGCTCAGGGCTAATTACTGCATAATGGGTGCAAAGCATCCTGGGATGCAGGCCCTGAGGGTGTCCAGGGACTACAGGGCCTCTGTTCACAGCCATCCCTTCTGGGGATGACAGTGAACATTCATGTATCTAGCATCATAAAGGGTGCTGCTAAATATCCATCAGAATGAAACTAGACCTGTGACAATCTTGGGCAAGAATCCTGTTGTTCCTCAGAACAACCTGCTCCCTGAAGCATGAAGAGTTGGAGTCAAATCTGTAGGGTTGAAGTCCGGTGTTGACCACACCCTGAACATGCAACTTTGGTTGAGATTCTTCAACAGTTGCTAAGGATATCATACCTTCCTTCTTAGGATTGGGCAACACAGTGGGTGCCTAGACCCCAGCATTTTTCCCGGTGCATGGCAAGTCTCTGCTGTCCTGCTTGGGTATTTTCCCATTTCTAATGGAGGTAGAGTGGGTTTTACATTTCTTAAGTGAAGTCAGTTTTTGCTAACCCTGTGTGATACTCAGCGATTTGGGGATGTCTTGATCTGAGGGCCTCAGGGAGACCTATCAGACAAGCACAAAGGAATTAAAGGATACCTCCTATGTTGGGCATGCTTATCATCCTGGGACACTGGAACATTTCATTTTGAAAAGAAAGAAAAAGTGTTGAAAGCATCATGTAGAATGATTCTGGGGAAGACAGGATGCATGGGAATGTAATACTCAGTGCTAAAAACAGTATTTTAGAATAAAAAGATCTACTTCTGCCAGAGTTCCCAAGAATAGAGATTAAAATACATGAACAATTAGGAACTGACTTCAGAGGGTAATGACACCGTGGGCAATGGTGTCACCGTGGGCAATGACCCTAACATGCATTCAGAGCATTCTCTGCCCACAGGATGCCATTGCCAACACCCAGGTGGGGCAGGTCATTCTGCTGTAGCATGAGCTTGGATACTTCTGCTGGTGAAACAGCCCAGAGATTTTCTGCTTATCTGCTGGCAAGCTGTGTGACTGGCCAGACAGAACAGGATGAAAGTCATTCTTTCATTGACAAGTGGGAGTTTGCTGGATGTAGCAAATCCACTCTTCAAGATCATCTCAAGCTTCAGACAAAGCCTTCCTGGAGCCTCTGACAAGATGGAGCACCTCAGCACTCCTGGCCACTCTCCACCTCTGGGGGACAGTGAGGACAAGTATCCCAGGCTCAGGACCCACTCTGTAGTCTGAACTCATTCATGAGATGCACCAAAACTCAAACCCCAAGGTCTTGCAAAGCACAAGATTCCATCAGTCTCTGGTACAAAGCCAAGGCTGTCCCATCAACCTGCCCCCACCCAAGAGTACTTTGCTTCTCTTGGGAGATGCCCCATCAGCCCTAGCAAGATGGAGCTGATTGCTTCTCACCTGCCATGCTGCCACTTGCAATTAGGCCTGCTGGTGTCATCTGTTTGTGGCTCATTGGACATGGTGCTGAAAGGCTGGTGACTTTTTCAAACCTCAAACCTCAAACTTGAGGTTCTCCCTCTATGGGCTTCACACACTCTGTGACCTCTGGTCAGCCTGCTTCTTGGTTCCGTCCTTGCATCATTGTGGAGCTCAGTGTTGGCAGATGACCTCACATATCTAGCATCCTGGTTGGAAGGAGGGTAGTGGCATACTGTCAGGCCTTGTCTTTAGGTGGGGATAGCGCACTCTTCTTTGTATGGAGGGCTGCCACAGAGGCTCCTGCCTCTGCCTGATGTTGATCCCTATGGACCCTTGTGACCACAGATTTGGTTGTCCAGGGAAAGTAGATCAAACTTTCCATCGTCTCACTCAAATCAAGAATTTAGCTTCTCAAAATAAGTGGAAATTAGTCAAATTCAGCCTCCAGAAAGCGAGCAGTTTCTTTTTCACAGCATTAAGTGGAGGATCAAAGTGCTGTGGGCTGGTCAGCAGCCCCCAAAGGCATGTTCAGTCCTCAGACTGTGTATTTGAAAGAAAGGTATTTGCAGGCATAATCAAGTAATAGAATCTGAGATGAGTTCAGATTGGATTGTCCAGGTGAGTCTTAAGTCCAATGACAAGTATCCTCATAAGAGATAGAAGAGGGAAAAGAATAGACATGGGCAGAAGGCCACATAAAAACAGAGACAGAAGTTGGAACCATCTGACAAAAAGGCTAGGAATACTGGACCCACTAGAAGCTAGAAGAGGAAGGAGAGATCTTCCCCTAGAACCTCTTGAGGGAGCACAGTCCTGAGGACACCTTGAATGTGGGCTTTGGCTGCCAGGGTTGTGAAAAAAATAAATTTGTCATGTTTTAAGCCCCTAGTTGTGATTATTTTCCAAGAAGCCTCTAGACACAGAATACAACATCTCTGGGGACATAAGATGTCTTCTCTAGACCTTGTTTTCCAAAACAAAAGAAACAACAGAATAGCCTAAAGCAGCCTCCAGGATTCAACTGTACAATGCCATGATTCTATGGCAACCAGCTGGGGATTATAGTCAAACTGAGCAGCCCGGGTAAGAAGAAGGGTCAGAGAGACCCCCAAATACACAGCAACCCTTGAAGAGTGGAGTCTTCCCTCTCCCCTTTCTGTCAGGACTGCAGTCACCTGGGGAGCCCAGCTTACGTGCCATCTACCCTTGATAAAGTTGCCATACCTATTTATGGCACATTTAAAAAAGAACAAGCAGGGCTGGTGAGATGGCTCAGTGGTCTAGAGCACCTACTTAGAACAAGCTAAGCAAAGCATCAGGGACCGTGGTCAATCCCCCAGCACCACATGCCAGCCAGCCCCGCCCCCTGGTGGGCTGAGCTGGCCACACACACACACCATACACTCTCTCTCTCTCTCTCTCTCTCTCTCTCTCTCTCTCTCTCAAATAAAAAAAATAAAAGAAATAAAAAATAAAAAAGAACAAGCACCAGCCATAATAGGAGCAGAAGCATAAGGAAGGCTCTCAGATCTCAGAAGCTGAGCTCAGAAGAGGCCATGCCGGCCCTCTTGGTTTCCCACCCTTTATCATTGAAGAACAGGTAGGGAAAAGACATCAGATTGTTTTTGTGCAAGGCATTTGCTTTCTGGGGAAACCTTGCTTTCACATGCACAGGTTTTATTACACACAAATGAATTTTTTTTTAAATGTCTGATTCAGCTATATTTATGTATTGTAAACCTGTCCATATCTGTATCAATGCCTGCATATTATCAAAATGATGAAAATCCAATCCATCAGAATAAATGAACTGTTTGCTCACCTTCTGGAAACACTGATGGGTTGATTCAGCTCCACAAAGAATCGGTCACTCCCTAGAAGGACCTGGGCAAACAACAATAATGATAATGATGAAAATAATGGTCTTAGTCATCATTTCTGAACACTTAACAAATGTGGAGCACTCTGTTAAGAAGTGTTAATTCATTTCATCCTCACAAAAACACTATCAGATGGAAATTAAGAGGATTATTTATGAATTAGGAAAGTGGGACTCAGAGGTTTGGAATGACTTGCCCAAGCTCTGAGGCTATAAAACATGATTCCAACCAGGTTTTCTTGCTCTAGTGTCTGTGGAAGTCACACCACTTAAGCTATGCCCTGAAAAGAAGACAAGGGCCTCCCCAAGCAGGAAAAGCTTCAGCCACAAGTCCTTGGGTAGCTGGGGACAATGTAATCACAAGGCCACGCGTTCTGGGCTGCACCAGCCTTGTTATTGCATATGTGCTACATAAACAGAGACATAGAGGGCTTTAGGACAACTCAGTAGAATTATGATAAAATGAAGTTCTTCTGTGTGAGTGTGTGTGTGTGTGTATGTGTGTGTGTGTGTGTGCATGTGTACATACATAGTGTGTATATGTGCATACATCTGAACACATGTGTATTGTGTCTTTGTGCACCTAGTGGTTTGAGTGCATGTGTGTTTATATATGTATGCATCTGTATGTGTGCTTTCTGCACTGTGTGTGTGCATATATGTGTTCGTGTGTGCATGTGTGAGTTATGTGTGTATATGCTGTGTGCATTGTGCTGCATGTGTGTCTGTATATTCATATGTGTATATGTATGTGTATGTGTATATTTGCTGGAAAGTAAGAAAAGAGGTTGTGGCACGAGCTGTGGTGAGCAGCTCAGCCAGAATAGTAGCTGAAGTTGTCCCAACTATTAATACTGAGAAGAAACTGGTGGCCAGTCATCCCAGGTGCCCAAATTCACTCTCTCTCCTCTCAGAGTTCTTCTGATCAAGTTCTACCCTCAAGATTCCTCCAAGCCTACTGCTCTGAGAGGCAAGGAAAGGGAGGAACTCAACATCATTTCCTGCTCGGGCATGGGTCTGGACTTCTTCTGGAAGCGGTGCTGTGGATTAAGTGCTCACCATCAATTCCATCCTCAGGCCCAGGGGTAGAGTGAGGCAGATAACAGGGTGCACGGCTGGTGGCACGGGTGCCCTGTGATGGGCACCTCTGGACATCTTGGGGACATGGCTGAAAATGAGCAGAGGACATGAGAGCCAGCTGTCCACTCGCTGCTTCTGCTCAGCCCATCCAAGAGCTTTGGTGCTTGTGTCTTTCAGGAATTCGCCGACTCAGTGTCCCAGCTGGTCACACAGAAGTTCCATGAACTGACAATTGGCTTGACATCCGTGCATGCCCGCCACAAAGCACTGGCAGGAATCGTCATGACCAAAGGTAACTTCCCCTTCCCTTTCCTATGGGAACTCCTGGCTCCAAAGAGTGGAATGTTACTCTCTACTAATCTTGAGATCCAAGAGGATTTTACTACCAGATAAAGATATGACAAAGACAGTAGAAAACACAGATCAATGACAGATGTTATTACCAAGAACAACCACATGAAAAGGGGCATAACTGGCCTACCAAAACTTATCTCTACACAAGTTTCTCTCACTTTCCATGCTGAAAAGGACTGGTCAATCTCCCCAATTAGGGATTCCCCCACCTCATTTTCAAAATAATGCCAGGATTTAACAAAGCTGGTATCTGAAGCAACACCAAATAAGTCACTTGAGGCTGGTGGATGAGGACATGCCTCCCTGTCACCCCCAAAAGTCCAAGGCCAGAAGCTGATACTATTACCTGTACAGAACAAGTATGTCACCTCTGGTCTTTGACCCCAAACAGCAAGGTGCACCCTCTCAAATGTGGAAGACCTGGTGTAGAAATGACCTTGCCAAAGGGGTTGCTTGTCAGTCTCTGGCTCCCACAGGGAGACAGCATCCATTAAACTGTCTCAGGGTAGGTCCTACATTCACCATCCCCAATGAGGAAAGGAAGAGAGGGACAGCAGGGAATATCAGAGGACACGGGGAGTTCAAGGGAAACATAGAGAAGACAATAGGGACAAATAAGGATGCAGGGAGTATGGTAGAGGATGCAAGGGGACCACAATGGGGACAAAATGGAACACAGAAGGGACATAAGGGATCATTGGGGCACAGGAAGGACCACAGGAGTACAGAGAAAACAGATGAGGAAAAAGAGATAGAGGACACAGAATTGAGCAACACAGGATAGAGGACCTGGCACACAGAGGGAGACACGGGGACACAGGGAGACACAGTAACATAGAGGAACATGAAGATACGGGGGAAGATAAAGAGGAGACAGAAAGGGGATGGGAGACAAAGTGAGACATAGGAATACAGGCAGACACCCAAAGGCACAGGGGAACATAGGAAGATACAGAAAGACAGAGAGGAGACCAAGGGAATACAGGGACACAACAGGGCCACAGGGTGCATTAGAGAACCATAATTTTGTGACACAAGGAGTCAAACCAGTAGCAAAGGGAACACAAAAGGATACCAGAGGCCACAAGGAGACACAGGGACATGTGGGGAGACCCAGAGGGATAGTCCTGAGGCCCATTTCAGAGAATTTGTCACCTGAGAAATTTATGACCCTCCGGCTGGAAGAGCAACCACACGTGAGGGCCCCCTTTCCTACAGTGTTCTCCACCCCACACTGCTCTGAGGTGGAATCCCATCCTAGTAAGCAGGAGTGACCCAGCCAGGAAGGAAACAGTCTTGCCACTTCTTTAATAAGCTAGCCTGCACATGGAGAGAAAACATTCTCTCAGGCTTTCACAGAGAGCACATTGGCCAAGCAATGGCCGTGACTCATCCACATGGCTGACACTGACAAAAGAACTACAATCTGAGGTACAGGATCTCAGGATAAATTCTGAGGGGATTTCACTGACCTTATCAGACCCAAAAGCTACAACTCTTGTTGCATAGGTCCTGCTTTACCTTGGTCTTAACCATCTAGCAGAAAAGTATAAAAACAAAATATAAGAAATAAAGCCATGCTGTTATGTTGAGCTGTAGGGGACTCAGGTCAACAATTTCTGACATTGCCAGTGAAGCGGAAGACCCAATACTCTTATGGGCTACTGGACTCTTTTAGAACATTTTTCTGAGTTTACACACCTATAATATTCAAATAAAGGAACTTAACAAAAAAAGGGATACAGGATGAATGTCCATTTTGTATGTATTCAAAGTGGTTAGGATAGATATATAGTTACATTCTCTTAATGAATAGAGGGATTTGTTCTAATAAGTGTTTTGTAAATAGGATATCATGTCCACATCTTGTACAGCAATTGACCACTAGGAAGAATATATACAATGTGCTAATTATTGAAACTGTCCTACCAATTTGGTCTAAAACTCTCTCATTGCTATTTGTTTCTCAATAAAATTATGGAAAAAAGAAAAGCTAACTTGGGAGAACTCAAGCAATTAAATTCATGGAAACATCCCACTACTGAACTATTATAACTAGCCAGCTAGTTAATCAAATTCAAGTGTTTGTTTCCAAATTTTTTCATAAGTTTGTGATGCCCTATTAGAGGAAAAAAATCATGAACAAAAATCAGCCTTTGTGTCATTCAAGTTTCATATTCGCACACATGCTCCACATATGTAAGTGACGTCTAGGGCTAAAGAGGCCATATACAAGATGGCTAAAAATTTCTCCACTAAAAATTGCAGTTAAAAAATCAGCTGATTGGTGTCTTTTTCCTGCCGTGCTGCACCCCTACTCCACTACAGAAGGTCAGTGGAGCTAACACAAAAATCCTTGCGGCCCTGTTTTAAAGGTGGCGCAGGGTGTGTTATTTGGGCTTTGAAGTTTTGGGATCTCTGTACAAAAAAGGCAATGCTTTCTCACAACATAATTTGTTGTTAAAATAAATAATATCAAATGCTTTGCATGGGGAAAATTGCTTTTGACATATAGTCCCCTCTCCTCAGCCGAAGCAACTCTATATTGCCAGTGACCCACCGTAGTCTGTCGTGTTGGCAAGCATACTGCTTTAGCCACTGCAGTTTGCCCTCCTTCTACACCTATGATGGTGTTCACCTCTCTGTGTAAGAGAGAATAGTTCACTCCAACCACTGTCATCACTGATGGATGTAACACTTTCTTTTTTATTTTTCTTTTTTTTTTTTGTAAGATAAATCTTCATCATTAATAATCTATGAACATAGAAAAATAAGTTACTAAAATCTACTTTCCTTGTATAAATGGAATATTTGGGCCATCATGATAGCTCAGTGAACTATGTGCCTGCTTAGGCAAGCACAGAGACTGGGGTTCAATCCCACAGCACCACATACCATGCTGGCCCCACCACCAGGCACACTGAGCCAACCACAGAGACCAGGCGTGGTGGCGCACACCTGTAATCTGACTGCTGGGGAGGCTGAAAACAGGAGGATCACTATGAGTCCGAGCTGCATAGTGAGACCTTGTACCTCATACATTAAAAATATTTTTAAATGGAATACTTAATAAGCATTGATTTAGAAAAGATTAGGAAGTAATGTATAAAATAACTGGCACAAATATTTGTGAATATTCATCTACATAATATTGTGCCACATAATCTTAACTCATTGTTATTCAAGCAAATGCCTAGGGAACTCTAAGAGGAAATAGTGTCTTATTCTTGTTGTTATTCCTAACCCAAGTTCAACGTATTCTGAAGTAAAACATTCAATTGGCCCTTTATGTATAGGCGGGATGTCAAAATTCTCAGCATCCACTGGCTCATGGAAAAGTTTTTTTGTGTTAGTAAGGTAGAGACCATTTTATAGCCATCATGACAAATATGGTTGCAGAAGTACACACTTATAAGCAGAATAGTTAACATTTATCTAAACAAATGCAGTAACATGGTAAAAATTCAAATAGAAAAGAATTTATTAATCAAAAGTATATTCTCAGGGGAACTACCTGCTCGGACTCCCCTCCTGCACCTCTCTGGGACAGGAGCTTTCTTTCCCTCAATAAATATATTCTGCTCATAAAAAAGTATATTCTCCCCTTCCACTTCTCACATCTCTTTATGCCCAAAGAACCCATTTCTAACCATTTTTAATTTGTTCTTGTGACTCTACCATATTTGTTTTACATTTCTAGATCTCCAGTTCTGCAGGAGATACCATCTATTATCTCATGCTATTACAATTTGATCCTTTTTCATGTTCCATCATTATATATGTAATTTCTGAAATTTTAGATAATGTAAACTTCCACTCTTTTTCTTGTATTACACCTAGATTGTACAGCTGCTCTTGCTGCTCTATACATTAAGGATGATAACTCCTCACACTTTTTTTGCTAGCCAGTTTCTCTCAATTATAAATGTATTTTAGGGCTGGTGAGATGGCTCAGTGGTCTAAAGCACCTACTTAGAACAAGTTTAGCAAAGCACAGGGACTGCGGTTCAATCCCCCAGCACCACATGCCAGCCAGCCCCGCCCCCTGGTGGGCTGAGCTGGCCACACACACACACACACACACACACACAAAAAAATAAATAAATAAATAAATAAATAAAATTAAAAAAAAAAAAGATCTAGGTTGAATGTGTCATTGGGGATTGGACTGGACCCAGGCCTTAAAAATAAATAAATAAATAAATAAATAAATAAATGTATTTTATATGATTATGACTGATAATATATAACATTTATATTCTATTCTACAAGGTATGATTAAAATATGGTAAATGTTTAAATTTTCTGTAAATATATTACAATAAAAGACACACTGACATTTAATCTCCCTCCAAATACCTCTGCTCACTTTACAATAAATACATTTCTCCCATCATTCCTATAAGGAAGACTATTCTTAGGGGGTTGATGACAATGTGTTATTTACTATAGTAATTTTAATATAACTTTCATTATATATTTTGGTCACCTTTGTATGTTCATAATTAATTCTTCTATATTTTGAGAGATTCAAAGAGTTGAAACCCACTAAATACTATCTACATGATCTATTTTCTTGTCAAGAAAATCACATAGCCAACCAATGCACTGGAATTACACATACTACTCGATCAACACAATTTTCCCCTGCAAGAGAAGTTGCACTATGTTTAAGTCTTATATATTCTTGTCATGTCTACCATTAGCTAAAAATCATGTCCAATTTAAGCTTGGTTCATGTTTGTAGCTCAACTTTTTTATATATTTCTAAAATATTGCACATGTTTTATTTTTCTGGAAAAAATTTACTGAAATGAAGCATCCTTTAGCATGCTCACTAAGTCACATGCCTTCTCATCCTGGTTAAATGGACCCACTTTTCCAGTAATTCACTACATCTGTAATGCCTCCATGATGCCATTACCTTCTACATACCTG